TCTGCAAAGAAAGAGAATTAAGAAGAAAAGCCAAGAAAGCTTCAGGGATTAGAGAAGATATTTTCTAAGTTTGAAAGCAGATGTTGTACCATATGTGCCTACCTGTTCTCTTTTTATTCACTTTGGCTGGATCATTACCAACCTGTCTTGTTTTTAATCCAGTAGAATCACTGACTGAATAACGAATTATTTCACCTCTTTATAATTCAGCTAACTATGACACAATGCTCATGGAATAGATTATAAGCAAGAGAATCAAAGTGATGAATATAAAATAATATATAAATAATACAAACAAAGGATTCTCAGTTCATGAGATTGTAAAACAAGTTTTTCACTTAGAAAAAATTACTTCAATTTTTACTCTATATTCTAATTTACTTGCATAAACTAACAGAAATATTTAATTATATAAAGAACCTAAATTCAGTCTTCTTGTGTATACATTTATGATCCATTTTTAAGATTGGTCTTGATGAGAATGTTAAACATTATATAGTAAGTTCTGTTGAAAATATAGAAAGACAACAGGAATTTTTATCTTATAAAAATCACTTTGCCCAAATAATAACTTTAAGAAATGGTTTTGTCATATTAACTACTTCAAACCACTTTTCTAGTGGAGAAACTTTTCACAAAAGTACAAAAAGAATTTGTTATATTAAACATATGTATTATATAACATATGTAAAACAATGCTTTCAGATTAATTAATAGAAATTTTTAACACATTATAAAAAGCATGCTGAAATATACATAAGTCATAAATTTATAATTTGATGAATTTATATATAAATTAATCAATGAATAGATATTACCATCACCCCCATAATCACCCTATGGCTACTTCACAGCCACTACCTACCTCAACTCCAAGGAAAACCATTATTCTCATCTTCCATCATAAACACTTCATTGTATCTTTTTTTAATATAAAATAAATGGAATCATAGACCATATATGTTTTCTGATATTTTTTTCCACTCAGCATTATTTTTTAAGTTCATTTTTTTTTTGAATTCACCCAAACATATTCATTTGCTTTTCATTGAGAAATTATATTGGAGGCTTTTGGATCTTTGGCAGAATTTCAAAAAACCCAGAAAGACTCTCTTTTAAAAATTAATTCCATCAAGAAACATAATCCAATTTCAAGTAATTTATTTGAAAATTAAAATTTGAAACTACTTGGAAAATTAATAGAATGCAAATGCCACATAGGAAATGTTTAAAAACATTATAAAGACCAGATATGAAAACTAGTACTTGGTTTTTTTTTTGGGGGGGGGTTGGGGAGGGTTACCAGGGATTGAACCCAGAGTGCTTAACCACTGAGCTACCTCTCAGCTCATTTTTATATTTTACTCAGAGACAGGACATTGCTGAGTTACTTAGGGCCTTGCTACCTTGCTGAGGCTGACTTTGAACTAGTTATCCTCCTGCCTCAGTCTCTGGAGCCACTCAGATTAGAGGTGTGTGCTACCATATCCAGCTTTGAAAATTAGTTGATGATGAAAATAATGAGAATCGAAAATACCAGATATTTCTCTAACCTAATGGCTCTCAGAGTGTGGCCCATGAACCAACAGCAGTAGTAGCTTCATCTAGAACCTGTTAGACATGTACTGTCCAACCTCGTCCCAGACCTAGTGCATCAAAATTCTGGTAGTGGGGACTGGACCTCCAGCAGTGTCTAGTATGTGCTCAGTTATGAAAATACCGCTTCTGTTCTATACTTTCAATTCATCAGGTACTTTCGTTCCTATCGTAATTTTTGTTAAAATTATTTCCAACCATCATTTCCAAATCAATGGGTAAGTCATCTGTTACCATGGACTCTTTCAACTGACTTTGTTATATCTTTGTTTATTCAGTTATGATTTGAGGCATGATTGTCTTGAACTTGTGGGGGGAACAAAACAAACAATCCTTTTGCAGCTAGAACTGACATAAGTCCAAGGTAGATGGGCTCTATAATTAAAAAGAGATGTCAAAAAGGAAGTGTGTGTTTCTTAGATAGATGCCTGAGTATATAATGACATTCTTAATACAAGAAAGAGAAAAAAGAAAAACTTTTGGGAGAGAAGGCATAACTCTGTCTTTGGTAAACACTGTACCTAGGCACTTTTTTAACTAACATGACTTCTAATTATTAGTCTTCTCTGATCTCCCTATTGGAAGTTTTTCAGACTTTGTAGTCTCAGTACTTTTTCCCTTATTCTTTCATCTTACTGATTGATTTCAGCATTTTGAAATACATGCATAAATAGTCTCTATGTTTACTGAAAACAATATCTATATTTAGTTCATATTTGTAAGTACATAGTCCATAGCTTAGAAGTATACACATAATAGGCAATGAATAAATGTGTAACCTTATAAGTTTATTCATGATCAAATACTATAGAAGTTGGATAACTATGTGCAAGAGGATAATTAGATATTGCCTCTGGCCTCTCATTTGTTAATATCCAGTTGGAGAAATTTGCTTCTATCACAAGTAGTCATAGTGACTATGTTTGGATGTTGGAAACATCTGCAATAATTTCTGAATCTTTAAAATAGAGTCATTTGTTACTGTAACTTTATGTTCATTAGTGGTTTTTATATCTGAGGAATAAACTTATCCTAAACCTATGTGCATTAATTTCAATCTACTTTCTGATTTCAATATTGAATAAAGTCTAATTCTTGTCTTGCTACTTCATATGTTATAATGTGGAGGATGGGGCACCCCCTTTGGAGCAAAAGAGAGCAGGACTTAAAACCTATTTTCCTTCCTGTTAAGAATGTGACCTTGAGTGAGTTCCCCAATCTCTCTGCACCCATTCTTTACCTATAATGTGAAGGTAATAATATCTGTCTTACAGGAATAGTATGTTTGTAAGTAAAATAAATAAAATTTCTAGAACTGTATATCACACGTTATCAATAAGATAAATTATAATAAGCATATATTTTTCAGATAGCCCTCACCCTTATAAAGAACATACAAATTTCTCCCAGCTTTATTTGTGGAACACAGGAAAATTATAAAAACAGACTTAAATTTGTAAAACTTGAACTAAATTCTAATTTTCAATTATAACATTTTTCTTTTTTAAATGTATAATCAAATGAAAACTAATGCCTTAATGTCTGGGATATTTAATTAATAAAATTGTGATAAAATAATCTGTAAGTAAAACATCAGTCTTAGGAAAAATAACAATATAGGAAGTCATTTTAAAAATCTATCAGGGCATAATTCTTAAAATTTTACCTAACTTTGCTTCTCACTCAAACAGGTTATACTGTTCAAGGCTAGACTGTGATCTATTGCTGAGTTAGTAATGACAGTCAAGTTTGCCAACACAATCACTGCACTACATTATCTAAGTCATTGCTCTGTAAAGTGCTTTGGGATACCTTGAGTATGAAAGGCTATATATCAAGTATATTATATTTTATTCTATATGGTACCTGAGTCTTAGCAATGCATATTCAACGAGATGAATAAAAAGACCTCTAGATGTACTTTATTAGTGTTTGTATGCATCCATAGATAAGTATAAGCTCAACTTGAAGTAAAAAAAAGAAAAGAAAAATTATGTTCAAGAGAGAGAGGAAGGATCTCCGTCCTGAAGGTGGAAACCTACCTGACCTCACAATTGGCCTACATTTCACCTCTTACTAGGAAAGCTAAATGAGTGTTTTCATGAGAAAGTAATGTACAAAAGCAGGAAGAAATTCAGAAACTTTTATCATTTTTGTGCTTTTCTTTCCTAACACTGTGCTTGAATGAATGAATGAAAGAATGAATTATTTGAAATACAATATATTTTTACCAAATTTTTCATTGTTTTCTAAATTTGTGATTAACATAAAATAATTGTGCATGTTTATAGAATGCAGTGTGTTGCTTTAATACAAGCATGATTGATATATTTTTACTTAAAGTAGCCCTTTCAATTTCGGTAAATTGTTTTTTTTCATATATCAGGAATGCCCTCAGAAGTTATCAGGCTAACAGTTTTGCAAGGATGCTGCATCCTACAGGGATGGCTATATTGTATTTAGAATTACCTTTCAGAAAAATGACATTTTGTTGTTCTACATATACATGTTAAAACATATTACTAACCTGCAGAGATGTTTAACTTTCAGTTAATTTATCCCTATAGTTGATCAATATGTAAGAACTATATGAAAGCTCATGCACATACATACTTGTATACACAATATATATGGTGTATACACTATATGTATGCATAATATACAATGATATAATGTAGCTTAGAAAATTGAGAATATTTTTTCATCTCATCTTTTGACTTTGATATATTGTATTTGTCTTTTTTCATGAGTACACTATTTTGAAAAAAGGATTTTCCCTTTTATGGCTGAGATATGTGGTGTTCCCCAAAAGCTCATGAGTGAGACAATTCAAGAAAGCTTAGATGTGAAAGGATTGAGTTATGAGAGCCTTAACCTAATCACTGCATTAATTCTCTGATGAGAATTAACTGGGTGATAACTACAGCAGTGGGGGTGTGGATGGAGGAGGTAGGTCATGGTTGGGGGGCATGCTTTTGGGCATATATTTTGTCTGTTGTGAAGTCTCTTCTTCCTGGTATCAGTTCTGAGTTCCTTTCCTCTGCCACACACTTCTAACATTATGTTCTGCCTCACCTTGGGCCTAAAGAAATGGAGTTGCCCATCTATGGACTGAGACCTCTGAAACCAGAAGCCCCCAAATAACCTTTTTCTCCTCTAATTGTTCTTGTCAGGTCTTTAGGTCACAGTAGTGAAAAAGCTGACTAAAACATTCCCTTTGTATATTCAAAAGGTATTTCATAAGTACTTACTATGTGCTAAGATCTGTGAATACAGACATATTATCAACGCTTGACTGATTAACACATACACAGAGAAAAAGAAAAAATAATAATAATTATGTAGCCAAATGGAAAAAAAAACACTATTTTTCAGTTATAGGGTTATGTGAATGATTCTGAAGGACCCCAAGGCCCCAGGCCCAACATTAGGAAAACTAACCCCTGTGCCCTGAAGCTGCAAGATGTTCCCTTACCCAACCCCCATGTCAAAACCCCACCAGCTGCACGTAGCACTTCAAGTCTCGCACAATGTTACCACAAGATGTTCCATATAGATAACCCCAGAAGGGCCAAACTTGAGCAAACAGGGTAAAAACAGGAACTAAAAGGACAGGATGCAATTTTATGATTTTTCTGAGAACTAAAGTGGGAAAACAAGTTTACCCCCCTAGGTGACTCAACTGCTGAATTCAGAGGGACCAATAGGAAGGCTGTTGCTGTGCTAAGCTAAGACCTAACCCACCTGTTCCCTATAAAAGATCTATACCCCAAAGCCCGGTGTGCCAGTTCACCGAAGCTCCGGCTGAGGTTTTGCTGTGCACCCGCAGGCGCCTGTGTGAGAATAAACGCCTCCTGCTTTTTGCAGCCAGTGTCTCGTGTGGTTCATTCCGGGTTTGGGATCTGTGGATATTTCATTGTGGAGGCCCCACCGAGATCCAAGATCCCGGTTCCGGTTCCGATCCCGGTCCCTATCCGGAGGACACCCGACATCACTGGGAGGTAAGCTGGCCAGCTCAAACTGACTGTCTTGTTGTCCTGTTGGTTATCTGTTCTTTGTTCCGCGCAGCGTCTGTAAGACTATATGATCCTAGGCATAGTCATTTAGTATTCTGAGTATTCTGAGGCAGTTCTGTCATTTAGTATTCTGAGGCAGCTTGAGAAGGAGTTGACGAACTCGGACTTCTCCCCTGCCATCCTGGGAGACGTCCCAGGGATCAGAAGGGTCCATTTCTTTGGGGCCCCCGGTGTTTCCGAGGGTTACACCATTTTTGTAGGCGACAAAGAAGTACAAACTTCTCCCAGGCCATCTGATTTGTTCGGTTTCCACCGAAGCCGCGCAGCGATCTCACTGTTTGGTTTCGTTTTTGTGTCATTGTGTCTGTCTCTCTATTTCCTCTCTGAGAATAACATGGGACAATCACTAACAACCCCTTTGAGCCTAACTCTAGATCATTGGCAAGACGTTCAAGATCGGGCAGACAACCTGTCCGTGACAGTCAAAAAGAAAAAATGGGTAACACTCTGTACCACGGAGTGGCCAATATTGGCCCACCCTCGAAGTTAAATGGCCCCCAGGAGAGTCCCTCCATCTCTCTCTCTAATTTGCAAAGTCAGAGATTGTCTTTCAGCCGGGGCCGCATGGCCATCCAGATCATGGCTTTTAACCTTTCAGGACCTCTGCGAATCCCCTCCTGCATGGGTGGGATCCACGCAGTCCGCCGGGAGGATTCCACCCGGCGGTATGGCGGATCTGTCCCGTCCCTGTTCCTCCCGGCCCCTCCACCCCAGGAAGCGAACGGGTCTTCCTGGAGTCGGGCTGCTTGGAAATGCAGCCCAAGGCGGATGATAAATTCTATCTAAGTCTAAATACTGAGACTAGGGAAGCAATGTTTTCTTCCCCCCCCCCCATAACCGGCTTGAGTGCAAATAGAGATGCCTGCTGGGGATTTAACAACTTTGACATCTCGCTTTGACTTTTCTCAAAGCCCTGTCCTCATTATTAAATTAATGTTAATTGGCTTTAGAGATGGGAACCAAATTTTCAGTCACAAATTTTGACACTCTCAAGGGGACTTTTAAGGAGTTCCCACTCTGCTTTCTTGGGGAAGCCTAGCACTTGAAACAACTGCAAGCAGAGGATGGACTTTTTGGGAGCTGGCTACTAACAAGTTAGAAAAAAAAAAAATACCTAAACTAAAGGAACTGATCCTGTGGGTGAAAGATAGGATTAAGGGACTCCCAGCAGCTGCCAGAGCCATTTAGCTCTGGGGAGTTCCCTGGGTCCTTATCTACATCTTAAGGATCTGTTTACTTAATCTCTGTTTACTTAAAAAGAAGGGACACTGAATGCAATAAAGCCAGTCACACTGAGACCCTTGATTTTACACCTATAGTTGCCCCTACGTGAAAACATCTGGTCCACTCATAGGAAAGTCTATGGTGCCACTGATAAAAGTCATAATTAAATGAAAGTTCAAAACCTGGAGAGATATTTTCTTATCTGGTTGTCTGATTGTTTCTTAGAGATAATCTAGGTTAAATGTGTGTCTAAAAAAAAATAATAATAATTTTTTATTGTAACAATCTGGTATCTGAATGGGTTTCTAAAGCATTGCACTATCTTGCAGTTAAAAGTTGGGTTTAAACAATTGTTTAGTTTGATTTCAGATAGTTCATGCTAGAAAACTTAAATACTTGGGATAAAAAATTTTAAAAGTTTCAATTTTGAACTGGGTAGCCTGAAAAGAAAAAAATTAAAAATAGATCCAAATATCTTTAATTCACGTGATTCAAACGGTTCAATTTAGATTGGGTAAACAGATAAAAGTAAAGATGTCCTCAAAATTAAGCTTATAAGTTTCTCTAGGTGTTCAAAAAGGCCCTAATAAAATGTTAACTCTCCTTAAATTTAAAAGTTTACAAGTATTGTTTCAAAATGTGAACAAAAAAAAATTTATGTAATTATGGTGTTATTAATGTGTTCATATCTTCCAGGTATACAAGTCTGTAAGGTAAAAGCTTCAAAAGAACATTATATCAAGCTGGTGTTCTAAAGTTGTATGGTAATTTTAGGCTTAAAAAAAAAAATGTTGAAAATTCGATTATATCATTTGTGTTCTATAACTGAACTTGTTATCAATAAGATATGTACAGTTCCATGTTACTTTCTACTCTAAGATACAATTTATGTATTTTTAAGTTAATAAGAGCCTAATCTGTGTGAAGGTTTAATTGCAAAACACAAAAGTACATTACTACTTTTCTACAAGAAGTTAAAAGCTTTCAGCCTTTAATTCATATTTTAGGTGTGATATTATGTTGTGTTAGCTAATGTTCATGTAAACTTGAACAACAATTTATGTAAACTTTGTAAAATGATCAGCTTCAGAACTATAGTACTTGAGATTTATAAAGAGCCCTGCCTTACTTGAGATAAGGCTCTGTCCCATCTCACTACATGTGAAAATGGCTATAAAAAAAGTAAGCCAGATTTCAGTACAGTTAAAGTTGTGTCCAAAAGTAGGTTTTTGCCAAGATTACTAGGATCTCAAACAGGAAATTATGATGTATAACCTTGCCAGAATTCAAGGTAGCTATTATATAAGCTAAATATGTTTTTACCCTAGTTAGTTTTGTTTTGTAGTTTGCTTATAGATGGTTTAAGGATTGCCTATTAATATTCTAAAGAGGTATTGCTTTAAGAACACAACCTGGGTCAACATAAGATAAAGAGTTATCACCTACAGGATAGAGAGATAGACATTAAAGCCCAGTGCTCTTAATATAAGGCTGTTAACTTATTTGCTGGATGTTTAAGATCAAGTTTTTAAAATTAGTTAAATTAAAAGGGCCAAAAAAACCAATATTTGGCTCTTGCCCTCTGAGTCAGTCTGAATCAGGGAATAGGGGACTTCTCCAAAGGGCTCAGCAACTCTAGGCCACATAACCTCCTGAACAGGGAGATTAATGAGACCAGTGGAGGACAGAAAGCCAAATGGTGCATTTGCTGTAAAGAGGAGGGTCATTAAAAAAGGGAGACATCCCTGATGCTTCTGAGGGAAGCCATATGGTCAAACAAGGCCTGGACCCATCCTAGCGCAAATGGCACTAGCAGAACTGAAAAACTGCTATGAAGTTCCCGAGGACTCCCAGGATAACTCAGCTGACTGTAAACAATAGGTAGAAACAAAAGTCAGTTTGACTTGCTTCATCTTAAACACTTAGCAAAGACAGTCAAAGCCAAAGCACAGCTGTTCCTGGACATCTTAAATAATAATAATAATTAAATGTAACTTCCATAAATAAATAGACTGGAGGCTACAAGAGAGATTCTTAGACAGAAATGCCTGATAACTGTCAAAGGAACTACTAAAATAGTTTTAGTCTAAGGCTTTTATTTCTAGACAACACAGGTAGACTTGATGTTTGCTAATATGGTTATCCAGCCCTAAGTAGCAGAATTAAAGATTTCTCTATTAGACACAGAGGAAAAACAAAAGGCTCTTTTGGAAGCTCGCAAAAATGTGCCAGGGGACGACGGGCGCCCCACCCAACTCACAAATTTGATTAACGAAGCTTTTCCTTTAACCCGGCCAAACTGGGACTATGCGACTGAAGCAGGTGAGAACCACCTACATCTCTATCGCCAGTTACTCATAGCGGGTCTCCATGGAGCAGGGGGGTCTCCATGGAGCAGGGCGACGGCCCACCAATTTGGCTCAGGTAAGACAGACTATCCAGGGGTCAGAGGAAACTCCGACAGCCTTCTTAGAGAAATTAAAAGAGGCTTATCGGAGGTTTACTCCCTTTGATCCTGATAATGAGGACCAAAAAGAAAACATTTAATGGGCCTGCCTTCGTCTCCCAGGTAAGTCAGGCGGTAGCCAATACATTAAAGATTAATTAAAAATTACATTATGGTTATAGACCCCAAAGTTCAGGACAGGTAAAAAAGGTAAATAGAACCATTAAGGAGACTTTAACTAAATTGACACTTAAAACTGGCACTAGAGACTGGGTACAACTCCTACCTTTAGCCTTGAATGGGGCCCAAAACACCCCAGGCCCACATGGACTAACCCCATTTAAAATCCTGTACGGTGCCCCACCTCCCGCTATTAACTTTTATAAAACTAAAACCTATGCCTCCCTCACCCCATCTATGCAGACTCATTTGCATGCTTTGCAATTGGTCCAGAACGAGGTCTGGAAGCCTCTAGCCGCAGCATACAAAGAGAAACTTAAAACCCCCTTGCTGCCACATCCCTTCAAGGTCGGAGATACCGTCTGGGTACGCAGGCACCAGAGCAGGAACCTCGAACCGCGGTGGAAAGGACCCTACACTATCCTGCTGACCACTCCTACTGCACTCAAAGTGGACGGCATCGCTGCTTAGATCCATGCTTCCCACGTGAAGACTGCACATCCACAGGAGTCCGCAGACACCTCTCCGGATCCAGAATGGAAGTTGCACCGTACCCAAAATCCGCTAAAGACTCACTCGCTGTTAATTTTTCTTGCTTTGTGCTGTGTCTTCCCCATATCAGTTAACCCCAACCAATCTGTGAGCCAGACATGACAAGTATTATCGGGGACAAAAAATATAATTTAAAAAAAAAAAAAAAAAAAAAAAACCATCCGCAAAATACCCCCTTTGGGCTTGATGGCCTACCCTAGGGCCTGAAAACTAAGTCGCAGGCACAAAAATGTGGGCAACATAAAAGTTACTATTGTAAGTCTTGGGGATATAAAACTACGGGGGATGCATAGTAGAAGCCAAGCTCATCTTAGGATTTAATTCAAATAAAAAAAAAAAAAAAAAAAAACAGGATCCCCCACTTTCTGCCGACTCTTGCAGGAGCCTGAAATGGTACGGGGCAGGGCCATGTACCGCATTTGCCTGCAACCCCTTAAACATTACCTTTACTCAGGCAGGCAAAGCATCAAAAGATTAGATAAAAAAAAAAAAAAAACAATGGGGCCTGAGAGTATATCATAAAACTGCCTATGACCCTGGGGTCCTATTCAAAATTAGATTAATAGTAAATACCAACCCCCAACCAGTATGCTGAGCCGTCAGCTGAAATAATGCTGGAATCCGAGCAGATGGGTCAATGGATATAAGATTATATCCATGATATAAAAAAAGGGGGGGAATGAAGGACCCCAAGGCCCCAGGCCCAACATTAGGAAAACTAACCCCTGTGCCCTGAAGCTGCAAGATGTTCCCTTACCCAACCCCCATGTCAAAACCCCACCAGCTGCACGTAGCACTTCAAGTCTCGCACAATGTTACCACAAGATGTTCCATATAGATAACCCCAGAAGGGCCAAACTTGAGCAAACAGGGTAAAAACAGGAACTAAAAGGACAGGATGCAATTTTATGTTTTTTCTGAGAACTAAAGTGGGAAAACAAGTTTACCCCCCTAGGTGACTCAACTGCTGAATTCAGAGGGACCAATAGGAAGGCTGTTGCTGTGCTAAGCTAAGACCTAACCCACCTGTTCCCTATAAAAGATCTATACCCCAAAGCCCGGTGTGCCAGTTCACCGAAGCTCCGGCTGAGGTTTTGCTGTGCACCCGCAGGCGCCTGTGTGAGAATAAACGCCTCCTGCTTTTTGCAGCCAGTGTCTCGTGTGGTTCATTCCGGGTTTGGGATCTGTGGATATTTCAATTCTAAGTATTAACTTAATCAAATAGAATAAGAAGTATGGTTTCAGAGAAGAAAAGTGTTAGTTCATTCTCAAAATAAATAATTTAAAAGACACTAATATACTAAACAGTATGTAGAAACCACAATTCTTTATTCTGTCCAGTCTCAGCAATTGATCATGCTGATGATATCCTAAGAAAAACAGAATAAAAGATTATAATTTCCTTCTCAAACTTACTATCTAATTGTGGAAATGCAATGTCTTGATTTTGTCTAAATTGACACTGCACTACAGATTTAAAAGAATGATCTTTTCAATAACTGCTACATGTCTGTTCATAAAAAATGAATCTTGACTCATACCTTAAATCATGCATGAAAAGTGTTCCAGATAAATTTAACATCTAAATGTGAATTGTAAAACATTAAATTTTCAGAGTAAAGCAAGAGAAAAAACCTTAAGACCCAACACAGGTTAAAAAAAAAAAATTCTTCACAATGTACAGAGCATTTGTTCTAAGGGAAAAGATGATAAACTTGACTACACTAAAATTAGGAACATTTGTTCATCATAAGACACTACAAAGAGAGTTTAAAGGCAAAGTATATTCTGAGAGAGGATATTGCAATTTTCACATCTGAAAAAATATACAGAATAAAAGAAGAATGCAATGAAGCAAGAGAATAAAAATTTCACATAACCCAAGAGAAAAGTGGACAAAAAAACAAACATGAAAGTCATAAAAGAGCATATGGACATCTTCATTATACATCAGGGAAATGCAAATTTAAATTTAATCTGCATCGAAATGAAAAGTGGATGATAAAAACAAGTACTAGTGAAACCAAGTGTTGGAGAGAGTTTGGAAGAACTGCAAGTGAAGAGTAATTTTTTACAACCACTTTGAAAAAATATATTATAAGGCTGAATGTCACATTTTGTGACACTGAAATTCCAAGTAAGTAAACACCTAAAAAATACTGCTTAAATGTGTGTCCACCATAGTCCATGTAAACAAAATACTTAGAGCACCATTATTTATAGCTGATGCTGGAAAAAAAATCAAGTGCCCAACAAAAACAATTAGTGTATTTATATATATTATATTATATTATATTATATTATATTATATTATATTATATTATATTATATACTATATTATATCATCTGCTTCAGTGAGAAGGAACAACATGAAAGAATTTCAGAAACAAAATCTTGAGCAAAAGGAGCAACCATAAAGTACATACCATCCAGGAAAATTTTTAAAAGGGGTAGAATTAACCTATACTATTATGAATCAGAATAGTAGTATCCTCAGTGAGATTAGTAAAAGAGATTGGGTGGCTTAATGTGAAAAATTAATCCAGCTGGACACATTGTGATTTAATCACTTTTACACACGAATATTGAATTTCACTCAAAAATAAGGGAAGTAAGAGAATGTATCAGAAGTTCACCAGGAGGCCTGTGAGGACTGGGCAGTTTAAGCCCACTATGGAATACATTTGCTTATCTATACATTTATTTTTAAGAGAAAAAACATACCATAATCTTAAACCAACCTCAAAAAGTAACTTACTTTTCACAATAATCTAATGTATAATTGATACTGTTATCCCCCTTCTCAAATGGTAAATTTGACGTACAGAAAGACCAAATATCTAGGAAGTGGTATTTTAAAAATCAAATCTAGGTAGTATGGCTCCAAATTTTGTGCTTTTACTTATTACAAACATAAAGGAATTTTTGAGGAATGATATTTTAGGATATCATGGTTGCCATAATATATTACACAATTTTGGTAGCTTAGAATAATATAAATTTATTTTCTCACAGTTCTGGTGGCTATGAACATACTTTGATGATCCTTGGCTTGTAGACACATCATTCCAATTTCTGTCTATATTTTTATTGTCTTCTATGTGCTTCTCTCTCTCCAATCTCCCTTTGCTTAGGATACCTGCCATTGTATTTTGGGGCACCTTAAATGATCTCATCTCAAGATCATTAATTGCCCTGATAAAAACTATTTTCTTTTCCTTCAAACAATGTGACTTTAACAATTTCTAAGGTGAGGACTTATAAACTATTATTCAACCCACTAACTACGGAAAATCTAAGAATTAAAAATGGAAGGCAATACAGATGAGAGTAATATGAAAGTGAAGTAGTAGATATGAAAATATAAGAGCATTAAAATTTATTAGTGAATGCAGAATAAAAGGCAGAGATACTGTTTTATATTTCTTTAAACATGATTTCCTTATAGGAAAATAATACTTAAAGATGATTAATCTTATTTGTATTTATGTTATTCATTAAAGAAATAAATAAGATTGTGTTGGTGTAAAAAAAGAAGAAAGAAATATTTACAACTGAGTAAATATTTTTGAATCAATGTAGAATGCTTCAAATGCAAGTTGCCACATAAAAAGAACATTAGAGAAGTGAGAAACCAAACATGAGGACAATCATCCAGGAAGCAATTCCTTGAAAGAAATAATATTTTGTATCATTGAATACCACAGCAAATCTGATACTAGCTACAAAGTTTAGGATATTTTGGAAATTATTTGCCTATTTCATACCCTCACAATCATCAGTCTCTAAAAACAAGGATAAGAACAAGTGACTTGCATTCTTTCTCTCCTGGTTGGTATGTGTGATCTCAGGCTATACAAAGCCTTCCAATCCAAATCAAACTGGTGAGGCTATTGGGTTGTTCACAAAACTATTTGGGAGTTAATGTACTGAAGAATGAAGACAAAGTGCAAAGCAGTTAAAGTAGAATGAATTGGGTTTTTCAAAGGCAGAATAATTCCTTTATTCTTATTCATTCCTTAAATCTATGATTCAACAAAAAGGCATGGAGGGGAGATAAGTATCTATAGACCTTAATTCATTCTTTTATTCAACAGTTCTTTAAGTACTATAGGTGCATAAGAAATTATATTGGATTTGGGGGGAAAATAAAAGAAAAACAAGGAAAAAAATAACACAAACTAATTACTACATACTATGTTGCATGTGTTCGCCTAATGCTTTTTATTTAATCCATACAATAAGACTATGAAATGGATATAATTAATTTTCTCAAATTATAGTTGAGGAAACTGACATAGATGTCAGTTATTATTACATTATTATTATTATTACATTATTATTCCACAGTCTTACATTATTATTCCACAGTCCTAGAACTATACTATGGTAGAGATAAAATTTATAAGTTCATAGTTTGGCTACAGAGTCTGAGATTTTAACCATTATATTAATAGTAATATGTTGGATATGGAATGTTATTTTATTAATAAGTATCTAATCATACCCCACTTTGTACAAATCATTGTAAAAAACACATATCTCCTGTGCCTAAAGACGTGGGTCTTCTTCAGGTAACATCCTGTTTTAGTAGCAGGGAATATATTGAAATAATAAGGGGCCATGATGTCACTGCAGGGTTTTTCAAACTTTTCTCACAAAAATGCATGCAGTCAGTAATGTGGTTCTTTCTGGAACATATTTTCAACCAAACATGATGAGTGGTAGCCTAGGTAGCACAGGAAACTCTCAGAGGTGATTTAGGTGAGTTCCACTAAAGAGTATGGCCTATACTCTTGGAGAAACACTGGAAAGGGGTGGTGTGGTAAGCAAAACTCAAAAACATGCAAACTAACTTACAAAAGGCCATTATTAAACATGAACATGGACTTCAAACTGGAGTATACTTATGACAAAATTACACTTGTATCTTCTAAGAAGTTAAAACATGAAAACAGATTGATATTTTAATGGCAGACTATGCTCCAATCTTTCTTCTTTCCTAAATATGTTCTTCCCATTATAAGTGAGTCCTATGAGTTCTTTTTAAAATGCAATATTTTTAATGTTTAAAGGAAAAGTAAATCCTGTGACAGCTTGTGTATTTTTTAAACTAAATTTTTCATTAATGTGTCTTCTAAATGTAAATCTTACATACATGTTAAAATTTGTTCTTTCTTTGTATACAGTTGGACTGTACTACAAATTGAGAAGTTAGGCCTTCAAAAGTCACCCACAGGAAATCAAAAAAGTGATAAGAACATATACACTGGGTTGTTATCCCATATGCATTGTTCTAAAACAACTTGTGAAAATTTGTGGGGAAGAAAACCTATTTTTCTGCAACCTGCCTGGTGTGAGCAGTGTTAGATACAGGCAGTTGATAAAGTTTAGCAACAATCCCCCATCTGAAAAAAAATCAGCACACCTTGCCAATATGTAGAATAGTATTAATTTTAAAACTAAATCCCTACAGTATAAATATTAGTTGGAAAAGTATAAAGTATTATGAATATAAATCCAAAATATTTTCTTCTCAAGTTTTTCTGGGGTACATGTATTCACATTTTGAAAACATTCTATGTACACAGAGAATGTATAGTAATTTAGTTTTTATAATATTACTAGGATATTTCTACATGATTAAAGCTGAGCTTAAATGATACTCTTATCTTCTTTACCCTGCTTTTACCCATTCATTTTCTCCCCTGATCCTTACCCACACACAAAAATATAATTTGAAGATTTTAGTTTTAATAGCTGCTTCAGGACCAGTCTGCCTAATAGAAATATCTGGAATATAGTCAAGAATAAGTACTTTGGGAGAACTACATTGTTATTATCTCAGAAGAAAATCATACGCTCATTTCATCAAAGGTTCAGATGTAAAAAAGTCACATAAAATTACAAATGTCTAATGATTTTAAGTTTGAGCCCACAGGAAAATATATGGAGACACATACACACATGCACACACACATCATGATATATTTCAGTTAAGATTAATAATATAACCTATTTCAATGTGCATTTGTTCATGTGCACTTGGTGCATTCCCATTGGGTCCTGTTTTAGGTTCTGTCAGATACTGCACCAGAAAAAGTCAGACATCGATCTTGTGCTGCATTAATTGTAAGTTGTGCGGATG